ATACCTTAATTGTTTTCCTTCTCCTTAGAAAATGGACAAGAAAATATCAAGGTAGCAATATCTTTTATCCATACTGAATTTGTATATATGCATTCATGTTTATGCATAAGAGCAAGGTTAAACATTTACAAGGCAAATTTGAGAGATTACTTTGGGCCGTACAGCACATTAATGGCTAGGTTCTAGCTTCAATGTTAGAAACAGAATTGTGGCTCAAGTGCCAGTAGTCACTTGGTTTGACTAACACCCTAGTTTCTCCTCCAAAAATTAGCTTGTTTCCTGCAGTGTTAGTCATATGGTGATTTGAGGCCCATCAAAACCCAAAGGGACCAAGGAAATCACACTCTGTAGATACTTGAACAAGGACATTTCCTATAGCCTTGACCAAGTAGAGGAATTGTGTTTAGGGTAATCCCACTTGCTATTACTGTACCAACTTTATAGAGCTGGAATGCCTGGATGTGGGCCCATAGTTGGGTTTAACCCACTCATATATTTACTTTGGCTGCTTGGACCTAGATCTATGAGTGAAGTTAATAGCTCTCAACCATAGCTTCATTCGGGGTCCATTTGACCATTTTTAACCCACAAAGAAACCTGAGAACAGGAAACCCTATAAGCCCTGGAAACCTTTTGGATCAGGCCATTCATGTTTTTAGGGTGGAAATGCTGATAAACATAATCACACACAGGCATGCACCATTAGGGTCTCTATATTCAATTTAATGCCGAAGGAAGATGCCAAAGGGAGGAGGGATACATTAGTGGGTCCACCTAGACTCTGTGAGCTGCTCTGCACTATAGATCAGCTTTACTTTTCTTGGTCTAGGTTTCAAACCCAGACTCCCTTTAGCTATTCTAGACCCTCCACTGGTGAGGCTACTATTAAGGAAGGGGGTAAGGAGCCTTCTTGGGGAGAGTTTACAGAGTACAGTGGAGAACTCATTCTTGATAAGAAAGGAGTATAACAGTTGATGGAGCTTCTAACAGGGAGATGATCAAGAACTCCAGTACTCAACCAAAATAAACTTTGTAAATCTATCCTCCAAATTGGCATGCCCACTCCAGGTCAAGGGCCAAATCTTTCCCTAAGCATTGGGTATAAACCAGAGTGTGTGCTTCAAGAAGCCTCACACACTCCAATGGGATTGCCCTTCTCTTTTGCCTTTGGTGGGGACGAACACAGTCTCCTTTTAGATTCTCGAGTTCTTAAAAGGGACCCTAAGTCATCTTGACCTTCCTTTTGCCTCCCCATCCCAGTCTCCCTAGGAAGGAGGAGCAGTACAGGTTTTCCCCTAGTTTAAGGGAATTCATTCATTTCCCTTTTCAGTTTCTTCACAGTGATGTTTCCCTGAAGTAGAAAATAACCCACTCACCAGGCCGTACGGTCAGCTGAGTTCCTTTTCCAAAGTACAGCTTCCCTAAGGTTGAGCCTCTATCGACACAGTGCTGGCCCCCTTTACATGAACCTAGTGCTGATGTTCCCCAACCACTCTCTCTCCTGCCCTGGGAATAGGGTTGAAAATTCACTTCCATCCTCTTTAAATGGCTTTAAGTATTTTTCTTGTGCAGCCAGCAGTCTTAGCTGGACAGTCAGTCCTTAGAGGCTCTCTCTCAGGGGACAAATGGTCTGTGGGAACAATAGCCTTCCCACCTGCAGAGGCCCCTCCCGTCAGAAAGCAATTACACGTCTTTTTGAGAGGGTTTAAATTGGAAGGAACTTTGCTTCCCTGGCCCTATTTCCCAGTATAAAAGACTGCTCACTTACTTGGATTGACATTATGTTTGGATCTCTTTCCAAAGCTGAACTCATGAAAACTTTGATAGACCAGATCTGCCGTCTGCAAAATCACCTCATTTCCCTCATTCAACCTCTGGTCCTCCTGCCAGGCATTTCTCTTTTCTCCTTTTTCTTTTTCCCTTCCTGATACTCTCCTTTTATTTTCCCACTTACTGCACTAGGAAATCATGCCCCACCATCTTCTAGACTTAAAAAAATCCCAAATAGCCTTTAGCTCATGAATAATTTGGTGACCGATTTCTTCAGCTATCCAAATCATGAAAATGGAAGGAATAGGCCTAGCCTCACCTCTTCATCCTCTAGGCTTGAATCCTGGGGTCTTAGCACTTATGAGTTGAAAGGGAGCACAGAGGTGATTTAGACCGTAGCTAAAATGGTATAGACATCCCTTCTCTAACATCCAGGGCTTACTAGCCTTAAGGACCCACCGTGAGGACCTCCAAAGAAGAAGAGTTTTGCACTTCACAAGCAGCCTTCCCTCTACAGGGTGGTTCTCCTCATTCAAACACATTCCATAAGAGGCTGAATCTCCTCTCAACCACCAGTTTTGATTTCGCCTTCTGAACTAACCCCTTCCTCATCTACATGGCAGTTCTTCAGATATTTTGAAAAGAGTTATATCTCATCTTGATATAGTCCAGTGACATCCTCTCTCACTCTTTCTTCAGGGACCTGCGATCATTTCAGATGGTTAGCTTGATTTTTACCTGACCATGAAGCCCAGGCCATTAACCAATTTATCATGGCGAAGGTGTACCTGACGGGTAGAGCCATTTCTGGGGCAGAAGAGGAGGTGAGGGAGACGAACGAAGTAGAAATCTGAGGATCCTAATGCAAACTGGGAGGGCTTTTTTGGAATTTAGCTACTGACCATTGAGTTTCCCAGGTGAAACTGCCCATAACCATAACCACCATTTTATTTAAAAATGATTCTGACTTTTTCTTTCTTACTTACCTGCTCTTACAGTGACTGTGGTTCCTGCTCCAAAAGCATAGTTGTAGCTAGCAGAGGCCCACTGTGCTAGGTCTTCCTACACAAACCTCATCAAGACTGTGGGCTGCGCCAGCAGGCTGCCTCAGGGCCTACCTTTCTGCCCCTGTGCTAGAAGCCCTTGGTAACTATTTTAACCTCTTGCTTTGGCTTTTGCTTTCACAGAGTTTCCTAATCTGTGAAGAAAGCAGGAATGCTAATATCCATCCTGGGGGATTGCCCGGAAGGTGAAATGAGTTCAAGTAGAAGATGCATTTTATACTAGTTATTAGTGATCAAGCATTCAATAATAGTTATTAATGATCAAGATTCTTTTCATCTTAAAAAATGCATATAATTTTAGTTTGTCACATCTTCTCTCTGAAACCTGGAACATTCATAGGTACTTTAAATTATATCCAAGGCTCTTTTGTCAACTAGTAAAAAAGTATTGGTAGTTAAACTTTGTGGATTTTCCGTGTGTAGGATGCTATCCCAAGAGTAGGGTTGGCAGTTTCAGAACGCTTACTGAGTCATGGGATTTGCTTACTATGTTTTATACCTGTTTAAGAGACATATCAACAAGGAATGATAAATTGTTGGGGGGGGGGGGTCCAAAACACAAAATAAAAATTTAACTCAAATACATACTGGTAAGAGGAATTTAGGATAATATGTTGGCGACTTTTACTTGTGGACAATTATAACTTACTTGACTTTACACTGAGCTTGGTCCCAGATCCAAAGTAAAATCTGTTAAAGTTGTACACTGTGTTTACTATCATTACAAAAAGTCTGGGACTTCCTAAAAGGGAGGTGGTTAAACAGAGGAGACCAACCAAGGTAGTCAAGCCTGACCCAACCCTACCAACTTCTTGCTATTTTCCTAGAAAATTTCAAGAACCAAAGTGAGGAATGAGCCAAGAAGACACATTCATTATCAGAGACAGGCAAGATAAGGGCAACGGATTTTCTTCAGTGGTTTTATCGATTTCTTTTCTTTAGTTTTCTGCTTGGGTTCATTCTTATGTCTTCTGTGTTCCATACACACAGTATTTGCAACAAGGACACTGCCAGTAAATGCTTTTTACCTTTTTCTTTTCCTAATTATAAATGAAAATTCTCCTCAGGTGGACTGGATTGTGAGAAAAATCCTTACTCCACCTTTACCCTGGAAGCTTCTCTCTCTGGGTCTGTACCTGGGGCTGTGTGCCTGACAACTTGAGCTGGGCTACTTTTAATGACATCGTAAACCACACCAGCTAGTCTTCTGTAGTCTGTGTGTATCATCCGCCAGGATCCCTGTGTCCTATCTGTCAGAGTACCTACATTATATAACCAAATGTACTTTAACATCCACATCGACACTCTTCTTCCAGCCCCCACAGTGCAACCCTACATTTTGGCGCGTGTGTGTGTGTGTGCTTTCTGCCTGCATGTTCCCTTTAGCAAAGGGGAGAAAAAGGAGGCCTCAGTGCTGGCTGTCATTTGCAAGTCTAGATGAAACATTATTTATGAGCAAAATATTTTGCTGACAATAAGAAAGAAAGGAAAGCTCAGTGCCAACAGTTAGACGCCCACACAGTTTGGATTTAAACAAATCTCAACAAATGAACACAGTTATGAGAAATAAAATAGAGGTGACTTCAGTCTAAGCCAAGTAATTATAATACTTATGCAGTTTTGGAGGGCAAGGGGTTTACTCGTTCTTACTTGCAGAAATGATAAGCAGTGTGTTACGAGAATGCTTTGCTGGAAGGGCACCAGACAGCTATAGAAAGAGAGCTTCATTTAAATACCTTAAATAGGCACCTTTGTGTTTAGCAGTAGAAATAAGCTAGAACAGGCTAGAAATATGGCTGGTTAACTAGACTTAGTTTAAGACACTTCTTGGTAAGACCATCTTGTAGCGTTTGGTCTGGTTCAAATGAAAATGTTAGGAGATAAACAGAGGCTCCCTTTATAGAATCTATTCCTATTATTCAGCATTCTTCTAGGTTACTCCTCTCCACTCATTTTCATCAACTCCCCTTCCAAACTTAGTAAAAAGCCTTCTCTTTCTCTTTGGTCTTTGATAAATACTTCTTTTCTTACATTACCTTTTTGGGCATGTGTTGTTGGTGTCTCTCTCCCACCCTCAACCTCAGGCCCATTAAGTTATATGTATGTACAGTATACATCTATAGATTAATAGATCAGTTGAAATAGTATTTGATTGTGGCAGCCTACCAGGTACAACAGTCAACTGGGTCCCGGATCCAAAGGTCAGTTGCCAGCCTGAACCTGAAGAAACACTGTGATATGCCCAACAACAAAAACCAGATCAAACAGGCCAGGGTGGCGGAGCAGAGTAAAGAGTTAGCAATTCCTTTGTGGGTTAGGCCTCACATCATTGCCAGACTGATGTACAGTCGCCATATTGCTTATCAACAAATCATAAACCTGTCTTTACAATTCTGTTTTATTTTACGGAATCTTTGCTTTCCACTGCCTACTACAGAGTTCTAAGTATCAAACATATGCTTTCAACATATATATAGAGTGAGTGCTCTCTGATTTCAGATGTTAAACCAGGGTTCACATCTCTTCATCTAAGAAGACTCACAATGGGGCACCTGGGTGGCTTAGTCGGTTAAGCGTCAGACTTTCGCTTAGGTCATGATCTCGCGGTTCATGGGTTCGAGCCCCGTGTTGGGCTCTGTGCTGACTGCCAGCTCAGAGCCTGGAGCCTATTTCAGAGTCTGTATCTCCCTCTCTCTCTGACCCTCCCCTGCTCACGCTGTCTCTCTCGCTCCTAGAAATAAATAAAAAAATATTAAAAAAAAAAAAAAGAAGAAGAAGACTGACAAAGCCCAAGACAGAGACTCTTTCTCCTCCACTCTGGGCATCACTGAGTTGTACAACTAGGGAACTGCCCAAATCCTTATGTCCTCCTTAGACCGAGTCTGCAGGATCTAAACGAGGTATAGGGCTGCCATTATCTGGTAAATTTGGCTGCTAGTTTGATATTGCTAAAATAATTTTACAGTGATTAAATTATCAGGGGAAATTTCTAGTTTTCCACTTTACTTTTGGGTCATTTCTTTTCTCCTGACTAAAGTGGTACCTATATTGATTTAGCTGCCAAAAGACTTCAAAAATGGGACAAAAATAAATTTTAATATTTTCTAAAGTAGTGAGGATGGCACGGAAGGGTCATGCCCAGGAGGGATCAGAATACAGATTGTCATATTTGAGGGAACAAATGAGATCCACCTACAGAAGGTAAGTTCCCTAAGGGCAATATCACATTGAGTTTGTTCCCTAACGGGTCCCTGGTCTGAGCATCAAGCCTGGCAGAGAGTAGATGAACAAGATTATTTGTCAGATGAGTCCTGTGGACTCCTCAAACATCAGGCCAGGAAAATCAATGGTTGAGACAAGCTTAGAAAACTGGAGATCTAAGTTTTAGTTCCAGCTCAGGCACAGATAGGCTGTAAGATCATCATAGATTACCTGGTAAATTAGCTGGTAAATGAAGCTCTAAGACCATGATCAGTCTCTTCCCCAGGACTTAGTTCCATCATAAATGGAGACAGTCAAAAGGGATGATTTTTAAGGGTTCTCTCTGCTTCATGAGGCTATATTATACAAATTTTTGGCCTAAAGTTTCAGAAACAGGAGCATCCCACAGTACTTATGAGAACACTTTTTTTTTTTTTTAAGTGATTTTCAGGGGCGCTTGGGTGGCTCAGTTGGTTAAGCATCTGACTCTTAATTTCAGCTCAGGTCATGATCTCACAGTTCGAGGAGCTCCGAGTCAGTTTCTGCACTGACAGCATGGAGCCTGCTTGGGATTCTCTCTCTTCCTCTCACTCTGCCCCTGCCCTGTTCTTGCTCTTGCTTTCTCAAAATAAATAAATAAACACTAAAAAAAAAACAACACATGATTTTCAGACTCTGGGAGAGGCTAATGGCAGTTATTTTGGTCAGTGATCATTACTTGCAAGGTTCCTTCTATATATGGACATAATCTCAGCCAAAAAGAATGGTGCCTTAGGAATGCTTGTTAAGGAATTAGAAGTCTTGTCACTGACGACTGTACAAATCCAGGGCTACAGAGCCCAGCCAGTACCCCAAGAATCAGTCACACCCCTTTACTCACACCACATATATTCTGGGAGCAATACCCAGGACTCCCCTACATGCCCATTTCACACCAAGACATTAGATCCTAGCCAGGGGGACTTTTGTCCTCCTTCTATTTGATGCTCATTCACCCTTTCTAAACATTCTTCATATAATATATAATTGGGGCCAAATCAGCTCTTAATCCACAGACATTGCTTAATCCAGGGGTCCACTTTTATACTTACTGGGCTTCACAGATAACTCAGTGCCTTGTCCAAAGATAAGCTTTCCTCCCTGGTTATAATTCACACTGTGTTACATATCCTGTCAAAAACACATCCAATCTTCCTGAACACATTTCTAATCCTCTCCCCACAAATCCACAGCAGATCTCTTCTCACACCTTAGCATGAATTGTGGCTATACTTATTGTAACTTTTTTTCGTATAAGGGGAATAAAGTACTTACACAAGGGACTGATAGAGAATAATGAGAATTCCTATTTATCTGAAAGTGTTTCTATCTAAACTGATTTCTCGTTTTTGCTTAATGGCTCTGGGTATTGCTGCTCAGGGAAATGGCTTCCTTTCAAACATATTTTTGGGGTCTCAGCTAGAAACACTTGGTACACAGGGGTTAAAAAATTAAGGGCAGGTGAGACTCGGGGGAATCAGGCCTACCCGCAGTGACCACAGCCTGGGTCCCTGCTCCAAAATTCAATTTCCACCAGCCATCAGTTGTCACACTAGTGACAAACACTTCTACAAAATGGCTTCCCCAGAGAAGACAGCTGGTAAATGAAGACAAACTGCTCATGGGGAAACAATCTTGCTACAAAATGAGGCAACTGCATGATATGAGATATAAGCTTTTCCCTCCCTCCTTTTCTAATTTCTCTTCCTTCAAGACACCAAGGATGATGTGTGCCAAGAACTGTACTTCCCAGGCAGCGAGGCCAGAGAGCGGCGTCTCTGGGGTTAACGAAGCCTGGGCCCTCGCTCTAGACTCTTTAGTGACCAAACCCACCATGCCTAGGAGTTTACCTAATGACAAACCCAGTCCTCAGTACCACTGGAGTTCAGGTGACAGCTCACCACCACTGCTACCCTCGCCTTTAAATTATCTGGTGCTTTGAATTCATGAATCTCCTGGAAAAGCAGTTTGAGGATGTCTGAGCTCAGAGCCTCCTAGAACTATTGTCCATCACTGGCATTTACAAGCCTCAGATTTTAAGTTTACAAAATAGGGATAACTCTACTGAAATCTCTGGGGAAGACTTACCATCAGATGGTGTTATCTACTGGAAGTTTGAGAGAAGGGGCAGACCCTGGATTCCTGGTGAGGTCCTGGTGGGTTTGTTCCCCTCTACCCCTCCCAGAGCTCCTTCAAGGATGAGAGGATGAGGAAGATGACCAGCCACTGAGCCTTGGTCTGGTCGAACCCTTTTGTATTCTTGTGACTCAAGGAGGCCCCCATAGAGAAGAGAGCAGGTCTTCCCTTTGGAGATAATAGTATTCAGTGCACAATTCAAATGATATGCCACTTACTTGGCTCGACAAGCAGCCTTGTCCCCTTCCCAAAGATAAAGGAGAAGCCTTGTCCTTGTACACAGTAATTAGCTCAGCATCAAAAACCTGCCAACTCAGCGTTCCCCCACATCGAGCCCTCCTGAGGAGGGAAGCTTCCAGTACATTTGCTCTGGTGTCATTCACACACACCTGTGATCTTCCTCCCTGAATAAGTGATCCCTTCCCCTCATTACCCCTTTCTACCTCCCTCTGCATCCCTGCGCCTGAGGTCAAGATGTACCCTCAGGCTCATTCCACCTCATCTCCCCCCCCCCCCCCAACTGTACTTACTGGGCAGCACAGACAAGCTGGTTCCCTGACCGAAGATCAAACCCTGGCCATAGTTATTCCCACAGTGCCTCTGGGCTCTGCAAAAACCCCCTAGAGCTCCCCTGACTTCATCTCAACAGTGTAATCGACCCAGGACCCAGAACCTGTGTTTCTAGCTTTAGGATGAAAAAGCCAGCCTGTTTTGTCCTGTCCAGTCCCAAGGACAAAGGGGGTTTGGGATGCGCCGAGCAAAGGTTCCAAAACTTAACCCAACAACCTTGGTGTCCTGAAGGGTGCAGCTCTGCATTAATGAGCCAGAGTTTTTTCCCCCTGGAGAGAGACTCCAGGATCTGGAAAGAGGCTTAAAGAGATTCTCTCATTTCTCCTCCTGCCTCAAGGCAGAGCTGTGCTTCAGTCACCCCTGATAGGAGGGTGTCTATCTCCTTTCAGAAACTCTCTAGAGTAAGTGCCCTGGCAACTACTCCTGACAGCTCATCTTCACTGTTCAAAAACCTATTAGGAAGGTTTTACCACTAACCTTGCTCCCTTCTTCTTGCAGTCTTAGCTGCATCCTGTGGGCTGCATCCTGGTGGGGCTGGAGAACACAGCCCCTCCAGCTCCTGCTCAGGGCACTGTTCCCAGACTGAGATATGGGAGGCAACGCCACTTGCCCCTTAACCTCTTTTCTTCCAGATGCACTGCCCCAGTTTGCCTCCACAGACTTCACTGATCCTTCATCTCTGGGTCTGAGAGTTTCATTTAGGGGCTATTTTCAGGTGCCATATTTCACCATGAGCTTCACTACCCAGAGGAGCAGGACAGTTTGGGAGGCAAGTTGCTCTTTCCTGTGAGGCTTCCAGCCTCCTCTGTCCCTGTCCCTCCACAGGGGAAGCCTGTGTCTTGGGGCACTCTGGAGGTAGTCACACTGGGGTCAGCGTGGTGGGAGGTGGTGTAAGGTTTCCGCTACTGTGAGTGTGTCCCTGTGAGTAGCCTCAGGAGCTCCCACCATGCAGCTCTTTGCGGAAACCTCTCCCCTGCCTCTGACACTTGGATGATTCTGTATTTAAATGATCCAGGATTCTTTCTATTTCCACTTAGATACTTTCAAATCCCAGGTGAAGAATTTCATAGAACAGGCTAACATTCTCCACCCTCCCCCCCCCACCCAATGCCAGCTCTTCTGCTGATGCATGACAGAGTCTTGACAGAAGAGCCCGAGGGGCGAAACAAAAGTTCCACTGTGTGTTGGGGATGATGTTTATCATTATTATTAATAGCTAGGGCTTAATGAGCTCCTTTTATGTTTTGGGCACCATGCTAAATACTTTAGCTGTA